GATTTCACGGCGGGGAAGTTAATTTGTTCGGAAAATGTAATGGTTAATATTTCTTTCTGTACTTTTAGCTATATTTTATATTAATAAGATTAAAAATAAATAAACCAAACCACAAATATTCATAAAAGTAAGTTCAAAAAAATTGAAAAAAAATTAAAAATGTGCAAAAAATTAAAGAGTAAACCACAGAGGCTTTGTTTTGTGTATTAATATACAAAAACATAAGGCAATATTTTGGTGTTGATTTCGAATATAAAAAATATATAATTTAACTATATAAATAATAACAAAAAAACTGAGATATGTCTCGTTTCTGTCGGCTCTGGGTGTTTTTTCTATGGGGCGTGACCGTTCTTCTTTAATTCATTTTTATCCATGTTTTAGCAGCCAACATAGATCGTTCGCTAAACCAAATATGATGTCTGTAATTTTGAGCAACGTTTAGGAACACCTTTTGAATGAGCTAGATTTTTGATTCAGTTAATTGACAATAATGATCAGGAAGGTAACGCCAGCCAGCCAAAACGTCTAAAGGGAATTTGCCATTACCTAATTCAGTGAGTTGTTTTGAAAATATTTCTTCTTGACTTATTCATATCTCGAAAAACGTTACGTTTTCCATGTTAATCGTAATTTTGTACCAGTGCACCCCTAATGGAAAAGTTACCAGACCTGACTGTATACGCTGAATGAATACAGGCGAATATGTAAACCCATTACACTCGTCCACGAATAACTATGCGAGTTCTTATTTCGATATAATCTAATCGTTGCGTAACAACCGATAGACAAAACGCTGAGTATCTTTCAAATGATGTCAAAACCCAATCACCCAAAACTATGTTTGGTTGGATTGATTTGTTGCAAATTATTTTAGATGCGTAATTATATTTGAGTGAGTTGGAGTTGAGCATGGCAAAGCCAAAACTTTAGTTTTTGCTTTACTTGCAACATACACAACGCTTCGCCTTTCTTTCTTTGTTGGTTTAAGCTTTATAGTCCTTTAATCTTTGCCTGCCTATACTGCGTTATATATACGAATACGATACGTTTAAGTTTATTCTAAGTACCTATATTTCGATTTAATGTTTCATTAAATATATGCAATCCAATGTTTAAATACTCTCGGTCTTACTTATAATCGATTAGTATCGCTTATATGGTCTAATCACAGATTACCCCCTAAGGGGGTAATCCAGACCCATAGATTACCCCCTTAGGGGGTAATCTATGGGTCTAATCCTCGCGCTGCAGCGATGTTGCCCTCTCTGCGCGCACACTGCTCTACTCGCGCAATTAATCGCAACGCTCCGCACTAGGCTGCTTACGCTTGCAACACAATGGATGTTGAAACTCTGGCAGCGTGCGCGCTATATGCATATTTAGTATAGCTAATAATAACAATGTCATAAAAAGAAATATACGTCGTTGTCCTCGCCGATGGAGATGGTGGATGACATCTATTCATCGCAATAGAACAACGTTTCCGTAACGAGCGCTGGATTCGAACTGCGTTCGCGCGATTATGTGACCGGCCACTAGCGTTCATATTGCCAGTTCTTTGACTCGCGCCCAAAAAACCAACAAAACAGGGAGCGATAGGCCTGAACGAGGAGCACGACGTGCGGCATGACGAGTATTGTTGCCACACTACATCTTCCTCGCTACTTCCCATATCACTCGACGAGTGTATGACAGGTGCTTTAAGCCATACTGACAGACTGACAGTATCGTCGGCAAATCGAAGAGAGTGATGTATCTTTTCCAGACCAGTGGGTTGAAAACATCTTCCAATAATAATTTGTTATTAATATATTATATTCCCCCCCGTGACCATGGGTGCTGTAAAGTGCTTGAAACGTCGGGAATGTAAAATAAGTTAATATACGCCATAAAATCCGTAAAGTTAGTTTTATTTAAACATCTTCCAACTACTAAAGTTGAAATTTAGGGGATAGGATGTTACCCTGTCTTACATCTCCCTGCAGTTAGATAGATTTAGTACTGTGTCAGTCGTTTAGTTACTATGTAAATACTTTAACACCTCGATGTACCGACTGTTAACTAAGTAAGCGCGAGTAAAGGTCAAGGAGTCCCAGGTTCGAATCCCAGCAGTCGAGCAAAATCAGATATTGAGTTTTTCTGTTTCTAACTCTCAGTAATAGTTCGGAGTCAATCAATCAATCAATCAATCTTTATTTGCCAACCAAGTGTACATTAATGGTCTTATAATAATAAAAATTTGTCTCAACTTAGTAGCCTTTTTCAGGCATTGCAAATTAGAGAAAGGTAGATAAAATAAGTTATTAAATATAAACATTATAGAGTAAAAACATTAAAGAGTGAATTAATAATATAGTAGGTAATTTAACAGTATTAAATTGTGCAAAATATTAAGGCATTTATGACATTTTATATCAACACAATATTTATTCTTCTACTAATATCTGATACTGTCCATAGTAATTTTTGTGTATCAAAACCGCTTTTTCCTTTTTTTGATGTATTTCTGTTGACTTAATGTTTATGTATATTAGTTCTGCTATTTGTGTAAAAGATATGCAATTTGTTATTCGTGTTTTGCTTCAATGTATTCTTTAACTGAGTAAAAACATTTTTCTGTTAAGAATGTTTTTAGTTTATTAATGAAAAGTGTAATCTTATTTTCAGTTTTTATGTGGATAGGTAATTTATTGTATATTTTTACAGCCATATAGTATGGACTCTGGTTTAGCATTTTAATTCTTGATGGTGGTAGGTATAGTCTGTCTCTGTGGCGTGTGTTTATATTGTGATTGTCTTTTACTTTTGGGAAGTGATTTATGTTCTTGAATACAAATATGCAAATGTCAAATATGTATAATGATGGTAGTGTGAGGATGTTATTTTTAATGAAATAGGGTTTGCAACTGTCAAGATTTTCAATTTGGCCGATGATTCTCATACATTTCTTTTGCAGTATAAATAGATCCTGAAAGTGTACACTATTTCCCCACAACATAATGCCGTATCTTAACCAGGAGTATGCATATGCGTAGTATGCTGACAGTGCGGTTTTTTCGTTTGTGCTGCATTTAAGTTGGAATAGAGCGTATGTGAATTGAGATAGTTTTTTTTTAATATGTTCGATGTGTGGTTTCCAGTTGACGTGCGTGTCTATAGTTATACCAAGTAATTTGAATGTATTTACGGTTTCTAGTTGTGCGTTGTTGTATGTTGTGTCGATGTTTATGGGGGTGTTTTTGTATGTTCTAAATTGGATGGTTTTTGTTTTGTTGTAGTTAATTTCTAAGTTATGGTCATTGAGCCAGCGATTTACTGTGTCTAGAGTTTCTCGAAGTATTTGTGTTGGGTTTTTGGTTTTGTCATATGCAATTAATATTGATATATCATCAGCGAATAAGACGGGCAATGTTTGTTCTTTATTTAGTACTTTTGGCAAGTCGTTAATGTATATCAGAAACAGCACACAACCTAACACGCTGCCCTGTGGAATTGAGCATTTTATGCTCCTTTTCTCTGATCTCAATATTTTAATCTCATTTGTGTTGGAGTCGAAATGGTCAATTTGCACTATTTGTGATCTATTTTCCAAATATGATTTAAACCATGTGTAAGCTGGACCACGAATACCAGAACCGTGCAGTTTATGTAAAAGAATGTTGTACAGTACTTTATCATATGCTTTCGTCATGTCAAGTAATACTCCTAGTACATGTTTCTTATCATTTATATGTTTTAGGGCAGTCTGGATATACTTATATACTGCTAGTGTAGTTGATCTTGATTTCCTAAAGCCGTTTTGGCTGTCATCGAAGATGTTATATTTTTCTAAAAAATTATATAATCTGGTACACATTGTTTTTTCAAACACTTTCGAAAACGTGGGTAATAGAGCTATAGGTCTATAGTTACTAGGAGTGTAAGTGTCACCCTTTTTGTGTATTGGTTTTATCAATGATATTTTTAGGGGGTCTGGAAATTGGCCATCTCGGAGACTTTGATTCACTAGGAATGTGAGCGGTATTGACAGTTTTTCTGCACATTGTTTTAGTAAAATTGGAGGGATCTCATCTATGCCGTAGCTGTGTGTATTTTTAATTGAGCGGATTATGTCGATTATTTCTTTTCTGTCTACAGGCCGCAAGTACATGGAACACATTTGTGAGTTTACGACGGGTCGACCTAGCGCGTTGTTTTTGTTGGTGTTATTTGTGTCCATACCGACAGTAGCAAAATATTCACTGAAACTTTTGCAAATAGTTCTTGGGCATTTTATAATGTGGTTGTTAATTTTTAATGAAATATTTTGTGGAGGGAGTCTTTTTTTTGGTTTACCTGTTTTTTCTCTTATGATATTCCACATTGTTTTTGTTTTATTGTCGGAGTTTTCCATTTGTTTACTAAATTCGAGTTTTTTAGATATTTTTACACTACGTTTTAGAGTTAGGCTATATTTTTTATAAAATTTACGTAATATGTCATTGTCAGTCACATTAAGGAAGGCCCTCAATTTTCTTTTGTGTGCACATGATATTTTAAGACCGGTGGTGAGCCACCCTTTTTTTGGTTTATTATTTATTTTTAACTTTTGCATCGGTATATGTATATTAAGTAATTTAGTCAGTATACTGATGAATAAATCATAGTTGGTGTTTAAATTGTTATGTGTGTTAATTATTTCATGCCATTGTATGTTATTTAATGATGTGTTAAAATTAAATATGTTTTTTTTCGTGAATAATCGTTTTTGTATGTACCACGTTATATTTTTATTATGATGAAACTGTTTCGATTTTATTTTTAATGTAATACCCTTATGATCGGAGAGGCCGTAGTCTTGGACGCTGGCTTTACTAATAAGGGGCATGTAGTTTGTGAAGAGTAAATCAATGCAGGTCGAGGAACTTTTTGATACTCGCGTTGGTTCTTTAATAATCTGTTTGAGATTGTTTGAATACATTAAGTTGATAAGATCCTCCGTCTGTTTATTTTTGTTTAATATGTTTATATTGAAGTCACCTCCTATAATTATATATTTATTTTTATGTTTGGTGTTTAATTTGTATAACACTTTTTCTAGCTGTTGGAAAAATATATTAATATGTCGGTCGGGAGAAGTTGGCATAGTTTCATCCCCAGGCCTCATAAAGCACGTTTTTATTATAGGATAAGGGTGACAAACGAGCACACAGTCCACCTGATGGTAAGTGGTTGCTGCGGCCCATAGATATCTACATCTATCCTCTATCTATTACAAATCAAAATGCAGATGCGTTGTCACCCGTGAGGACTAAGATGGAATGCCTCATTTCCAGTAAAAAGGGCCTCCGGCCACCTGCACTCACCAAGCGAAACGCAGAGGTAAAGGTCGTGGTACCACCCCGGTTCGGGCCGGCCCATCCGTGCGACAGCAAAAGCCGCCACGTGGCTCTACCACTGTTGTATCTCTGTTGTACTGCAATCTCTGCGGACTATGAGAGTGTGGAAATAGGGAGGTGCACCTGTTCTTGTTCACACAATTGGGCATCATAATCTGTGCTGGTGCCGCCGTGAACAAAATTTGCATTCTGCAAGGACTGTAGAACCGCCAATTAGACGAAATTTAAAAATATTAATTCAAAACGGGAGCAAATTTAAAAAAGGCTAATAATTTTAAAGCCATCCATATATTTGTTACAAATTAATCGCAATAACTATTTACAAACAACCTAATCAGCAAAAGATCGATTGATATAACACACACATAATCAACTTAAGTTATATAAAAATAGTGACTCTCGCCATACATACTCAACTACATACACTTTCTATTGTAGAATGTACTAAAAATTCCACATTTAATCAATTTTAACAGCGCCATAAATTTTTCTAATAAATGTATAAGCTGCAAAAAATCCAATGGTACCAGTTAACAGCCAAAATGTTAATACCATAAGACCTGAAATATAAAAATTAAGTTAATTAAAATAAAAAAATAAAAAACAAATAGTTTTCATTGTTGGATATTCTATTACCTGTATAACCCACATACAATAATGTCGGAATAAACTCCGTAATCTCTAATTTGGTAAAAAAGTAAAATATTGAATATATTAGAATGTACACAGCAGACCCTCCAGAAACAATGAAACTTTTCCACCACCAGTGATAATCCTAAAAAAATCATAAAGTATAATGTAATTAATTACATACATATCTTATCATGTAAAATAAATAATAATTATTAGTATTATTTACCTCTCCACAAAGTTGAAAATATACCATCACGATTGAAATTTGTGAAACAGATATAACCAAAATACAAAATACAAGAAATAAAAATCCAAAGAGATAATAAAACTGATTTTCCCATAGAGCATTAAAAATGAAGAATAACTCTATGAATACAGCGCCAAACGGAAGAATTCCGGCCATTAAAATGCTAAAAATAATGAGTGAAAGATTAGTTAATATCTGAATATTATAATTCAAAATTACTGATACACTAAAACGTAGTCCGATCATAAGTTCTGTCAAAAATATTTTTAAAATAAATACAGATAACTTGCGCTTTTTCATAAAAACTTTATTCAAGTCTGTTCGTACATATATATTCGCGCTTGTTTAAGATACAAACCGTGCATTTCAGTAAAATGTAATGTTCAATATTGTGTGCGTGCGCACTAGCTTCTTCTATACTAAGTCTATTCCATTCTCACGACAGTGGTATTGTCTGCGCATTGTACTATCTTACCTACCCTTCGATGAAGCTGAGATCAACAGTGTGAATTAAAAAACGCCACTGCACGCTAGCAAGTTTATAAACGCGAAAATTTTACTGTATAGGTTGTTCGTTTCTCCCCGTGTCAGTATAGCGCGTACCAACTCTAGTATTAGTAAGTATTAAAAAAAAACTTTTCAGGAATCATTACTTCGCTCTTTAAAATGTAACTTCATTTTCACATTAGCACACTAATATCGTGGTAAATCAGCACTAAAAACTGTAATTAACAATTTCAATGGTGCCGGCGAGGATCGAAGGACTCGGATTGCTCGCGTACTGTGAAATTTGCAGCGAGCACTTAGTCCCTGAGTAACCACGTGCTCGGCGGTGAAGGAAAACATCGTGAGGATACCTGCATGTCTAGACAATAAGAAGAAATAAAATATTTCGAAGACATGACATGTCACACTGTGAAGTTCACCAATACGTATTGGAGCAGAGTGGCGGTCATTTCTTTTATTAACTTATTCAGGGCATGTATTTGTATGGAGAGCAATAAAGAATAAGTAAATAAATATCTTTACGTGATATTGACACAAACATGACTACTCGATGAAATAATTTTGCGTGGCAAAAATTAGGAAGCCGGGCGCGTCATATGTAAATTTGATCGCATAATATGTAATTTAAATGTCGATAACTATCCATCTAATTATCTTTTTTATAAAATTACAGTAATATTTTTATAGAAAAAAAAAAACGAGGACACGTACAATCTGAATTTAAACAATGGACGTGTTGCTATTCCGTGTTCCGAAACACTTTTAAATATTGAATTGAGAGGAAGATTGTACCTGAACGTTGAAGTATAACTGTTGCATTACATTTGTTCTACGATTTTTTATACAAAATTAACATATTATATATTATATCGCGAACCGTATTGAGTTATATTTACATTTACAAGAATAACTCTTTAACACACTATGTTACTTTATCAATGTTTTGTAAATCCTCTTTTCGGAACTTGATGGCGGAGACTCTTGTGTTCATGTACTATTGAAGCTTGAAGCCGGGGTCAAGTGACCAATCCCATCTAAGTGATTGAGAAATATGGAGGTCATACGCTCGACAGTTTCTGTTTGAAATGTGGAAGGGTCAATTTGTACTTTCTTGAGCAAGAAGCCGGTGTCGAAGCTGTTCACCCGGTCTTTTTAGATAGGGCGAATAGACAACAAGGGTCACTAAATTTCAAGCTGGTGCCAATGTTTTATGGTCGCTACACCCTTGCCGCATAGAAAGAATGGAGCCGACAAGCGACTACCAATAGTGCTGAGACCTCAGCGCGTTATATGCTAGAGCGTCGGCTGAGCTGCACCGAGACCTCAACGCTTCTTAAGGATAAAAGCTATGGTATTTGCAATCAGCGTATCAAAAGGTGAACCAGAAGTGGTTTCTGATGTAAGTATTAAGAAAACTACAAAGACCTTTTTTCATGGGGAAATGCACCCGTCTCGTGTGGGCAAGGACAAATTATCTCAGACTAGCACTGACTAAAACCTCATGATAACAGTCGCGGCATATAGTCAGGGCCACGGGAACACTATTGCACAAATCCGAGGCTTTACTAGCGCCAGTTCTTCCTTGGCGGCCTCTGCTCGGGAGAGGAACACTCCTCACTATTTCATCTCTTCAAAAAAGAAATAAATAATAATCTAATTGTATGGAATTGCAACTTGTATTCGACACAAAATCATTGGACAATTTCTTTTAAATTCAGCTCCTGAAGTAAATTATTGTCAATGTTAGGCAGGTTAACTTTGGCACTCGCTTTCGACTCATAATACGATTTATTTTTTATTTTTCGAAGTTCGGTTTTTTCACTCGTCGTGAAACGGTAAATTTACGATGCAATTATGATTACCTGAACATTTCTAATTTCTAGGCTATATCCACTCATGGAACACTAGACAAAATAATTTTTATGTTAGTTAATTTGAGCTCTAGTAGCTCAAAGAATGATCCGAATGCGATCCCCCGATTTACCATGTGCACGACGGCGCAGAAAAACATTGTGCACATCTAAGACATTAAAAAAATTCCGAGTACATATTATGATTTTCGCTAACACACATAAATTAAGGTAATGCGGCACACTCTTGCTTGCTTAAAATCCCTCTCAGAATGAGGCCTGTGACCAGCTGTGGGACATATTTAGACTTCCTTCTTTTCTTTTCTGCATTAATTTACCGAGAATTCCTAGTTTGCAGCTTTTCGCAGTACTTGTGGTATCAGGGAGACTGAGAGATTATTTAAAACAAAAGGAAGAAAAACACAATATCTACAAAGGCACTGCTTGTTTCATGATGAAATTTCTTCCACCAGGCCTATTGAAGGATAGTTGTTTACATACACTTTATATATACAATACACACACGCACGCACTCACGCAATACACACGCACGCACACACGCACCAATCGGCACCAATGAAGTTGTTTTACTTATATATATATATATACCTGCACATTACTATTTAATAACTAGCTGGTACCCGGCGCGTTGCAGCCGCAGAAGAAATAATTGTGGTAATATTGTTTTAACTTTGGAAGAGTTATATTATTAGGAATGGCAATGCATTCATTGATGTTGAATGATATATGACTTACAAATGTGTCGATACTATACGCGCGCCACCTTCTGTAAGTTAATTGTACTATGCCCATAATAACCCATACATACTCCAACCAAAATATAACTGGCTTGGCTCTACCAAGTATAAAATAATAATAAACATGTATTGTCAGAAATTTGTGGATCTATGAAAACCTTAGTTAACACTTTCATTTGAAGTCAGATGTTCTGTGGACAAGAAGCCAACTACAGCCACTACAACCAAGCCCCAACGATATTAACGTCACTCAATTTTTTTGCCTTCCCGGAACCCCTCCACAAACACTTAAACTTTATGGTATGGTATTAAAGTTCAAATTAACTTTTAAGTATTATTACGAATCTTTTGTATGGGAATATAGAAAAGTGTTGTTTTTAGACTATTTCAGGCAATTTTTTAATTTTTTCTCTCTGTAAGAACCATCTTCGTACTTCAAGGAATATTATAAAAAAAGAATTAGTGAAATTGGTTCAGCTGCTCTCGAGATTTGCGCTAAGCAACACATTCAGTGATTCATTTTTATATTATAGATGATAGTGCTCTTTAACAAGTCTTTTAAACACAGACACCGTTTTAGCATCACGAATTCTAGGGGCAAGTGAATTCCATAAGTGTACTGCGTTAACAGAAAAAGAATGAGAATAAAGCTTTCATTGACTCGTTGACAGAATTTATGGCCCGACAATATGGATAATATTTGTAAATGTCTGCTTACCATATAAAAATATTCATATACCAAACTTGCTCCGGTACTTTTCTTGGAATAAAGTTTGTCCTGACAGGATGTTGAAATGGCTGCTTTCTACATCCAAAGTAATATCCCAAATATACTAAAGGTAGAGATATACAAAACCATAAACAAAGCAGGGCCATCATAGTCGAAAATGGCACTGCACCACTGGAATGTTTGCCCATAATGAAAAAGTTTAAAAAGAAACAGGTGCCAAATACAATGGCTGGATAAATAGTAGCTGTTAGAAATGCTGCTTGTTTCCATTGTTTTCCTTTCATAGTATTATATAAGCGCGCAGAATAGTAGCCAGCAATAAGGCCCATGAACACATACAAGAATATAGCCGCAGTCATAAGTGCACCTCGGCTGGCTGGTGATAACATGCCCAACATGGCAATAACTGTAAAAAATAAACCTTTTATTAAATACATTAAAAATAAAATATGTTATATTACATCAATTTTGTTTTAATATTGACAACAATTTTTTTTAATATAATGGTTAGGAATAAATAAGTAAACTTACAAATAGTGATGAGGGCCATTAAAAACACCTGTATGCCACTTCCTATTACAGCTGCAAAAAGCATCCTTTTAGGTGGCGGTCTAAAAACATCACCATGCACCAATTTCCAGCCAGTTTCCTCTATCATGTCATCTATACTTTCATCTGAATTATACCTTGCAATATCTCTTCTTAACGTTCTGACCATGATCATTGTTAATATACCTGAAGAAATTTTACATTATAATAGTTGAAAAATACCGTTAACTTCCCACTGCATAGTATGTATGAATTGTAGAAAATTATGGTTAACTTGACGCGAATTGCTAGCTTAGATCACTTGTAGGTAATTATTGCTTAATTATTTAATTTCATAGATATTTTTAGGCCTTGATATTGTTATTTAGCGGTCTCCAGAATAGTTGATTGTGGTTGGATTTGCAATGGTTTGGCAGGAGTTTGGGGGAATAAAGTAGTGTTGTATTTGGTAGAGGTTTGGTCTTCAATTATAACAATACCACTCGCATTAAAAGGTAATGCACTGTTTTCGAGAAAATAAAAAATAAGTATTATAAACTAAAAATGGGTAAAATATGGAAAAACTTTTTTTATAGGATAGGGTGACAAACGAGCACATAGACCATCTGATGATAACTGGTTGCTGTGACCCATAGACATTTACAATACACATCACATCTCAATAAAGACTCAAAATGCAGATGCGTTGTCACCATTGAGGACTAAGATATAAAGCCTCTTTCCCAGTAAAAACGGTCTCCGGTTCTCTACACTCACCATACTAAACACAGCACCATTAAGCTGCTACTTTACGACGGTCGTGCCGACCCATTCATTTACAACTATACTACTAATATAGCTGCAGCATGGCTCTACCACGCATGCTACCACAAATGCAAAATTACTATGAAACTTGGAGGAACAAAGATGTAAGATCATGTCAAAGACTAGTGTCACATTATTATACTTATGTGGTATTTTTATTCTTCTGTGGTCTATACTTTGTTAATAAATTATGTTCACAAACAATAAAGAAATGATTATTATATACTTTACATAGCCTTCATAGTTATATTTTTTACTACCCACAAATCCTTACAGTTGTGAATAATATTGTTTTTTTTTATTGTTTGTTTAAAAAACGTTACCCCCACACTAGGATTAATTATAATATTTAGATTAATAATAATATTTAGAATATGTTTTGATAGGTTTTTAACCACAAAAATTTCGGCTTGAGAAAAGTTGTAGTCAGTGTTGTGAACCAAATGGTGAATGTGAGTAATTTGACAGTCCAGAGGACTTGGCAGCAATATCAAGAAACCAGTTCGTCAGTAGAAGACCTGATTCTGGAAGAAAACTATGGACCACAGAATACCAGTGTAAAATAGTAGCTTGACATTGCTGTTTCGTATGGTGAGTACAGAGAACCGTAGACCCCTTTTACTGAACCTCAGTCCTCAGAGGTGACAAGGGATATGCATTTTGATTCTTAATTGAGAAAAGATGTCAATGTCTATGGGCTACAACATCCACTTACCATCAGGTGGACTATGTGCTCGATTGTCATCCTATTTAAAAAAAAAAACAACTCACGGGACAAATGCTTCCTGTCCTTCTCGTCCAGTGAGTCAGGCATTAAGAAATAGCAAATCTTGAATGCAACAAGAATTGCAAAAATTTTTGAAGGCATGCTTTATTGATTCTTCAGAATTAATTAATTATTTGTGTTTCAATATATGTGTAAGTATACGGTCAGCTACGTGGTGCAGTGGCTTAACAATTAGTTGCAGCACTAAGAACTACGGGTTTAAATCCCAAACGAAACAGGTATTTGTATGGCCTACAAATAATTTTTCCAGGTCTGGATGTTTTCCTTATGAAATTTATGTATGTAAACTGCCCCCATGATACAGGAGAAAATCCAAGTGTGGAAATAACATAAAAAAATTTAAAATACACAGACATATATATATAATTAAACTGCTACTGAATATATTATAATTAAAGGAATTATATTTTTATTATAATATATAGATTTTTTTGTTAAACATTAATTCACTAATTTCTTACATTGTGATAAATTACAAACAAATATCAAACAAATTTACACTACTTTATAATATTAGTGTTAATAAATTAACACCATTGCTATCCTCAATTTAATAGGTCTGTAATCTATATATAACTAATTTCCAATTTTTTACAAGAGTTAATATAAATATACAAACATATGCATTACATTCCCTTCAATTTAAAAACAGTTGGGTTGTAAATAAATCTTACTTCCAACTCTTATGAATTATGGTAACAATACAGTAAAACACTTCAAGTACCTGGACTTAAATTTCTTTTTAAATAAAGGTGGGATTACATCAAAATTAGTAGCATTTATTGTGTAGTATTCACATAAATGTAAGAAACATCTTTTATTTACCACTAAACTGGGCACAGAAAGCAGCAATAATTGTTCAAAACATCTGCTACTAAAATCACTAAGTTCCTTAATGAGGGCTCAGCAATGGACACAACAGTTAACAGAGATTGTTACCAGAATTAATGAGGAATAAAAATGAATGGATTGGCTCAACCAGGAAAGGACCATTCCTCACACAGAATACCAGCTTAATGCAGTTGTTTCAATAGTGTAGAGAACCAAATATCTATATTACTCAAAACAAGGCATCTTATCTTAATTCTTAGGGATTACAATGCATCTGATTTTGTTTCTTAATCGAAGATAGATGAAGATGTCTATGGGCCACAGCATCCACTTGCCATCAGGTGGAAAGTATGCTTGTTTGTCACTACATGATTCAATACAAAAACATTACTTTATAATATAAAGTATTTGTTTGTTATTTGATAACTTGTATACATACCTGACAAAAAAAATAAGACAACAATAGAATTGATAATTGAAAACCAATGGATCTGAACATCTTTCATGCTCAAATAAATGTCCCATCTCGATGCCCACCCTATTTCAGACTCTCCCCATTCAACAGAATATGTAAAATACAATTTTGTTCCAGTGTCTTCATTAACTAGCTGGGGTTTAGCATCAGTTGGGAATTGACAAGAGGATTCATCAATAAATGACAGATCATCCTTATCTACAGAGTGTGTTTCAACTTCAAAACCAACAACTCTGTAAGAATCTCTGAAAACAAATTTGATTCCATTAATCTCATAAATAAACAAGAAATATTCTAAATTTATAATTTTATCAAATAATAAGTAATTAAATTTAGACCTGAATTTTAAATGGTTATGAAAATCTAATTATCATATTAAGCAAATTTCCACAAGAAATAGTGGTGGTTTATCCATAATAAATCACCAAAACAAAAAGCATCCTTTTATGCTAGCCATTACCCTAGTATCCAACCCAGCTGTAGTGGTATCAAATACAATAGATATGAAGATCAAACCGTGAATAAAAATTATTAAATTCAATAACTGATTACATTATAGATTATGACAAAAAATAAATTTTGTTAAAAAAGCTCAAAATTCATAAGATCCATGGATAGAGATAATTATCATCATTAATACAATTAAAAGGCAAATGAAAACAACAATAAAATAGCAGCTTAATATTGCTGTGTTTTGTATGGTGAGTGTAGCGGAGAACCAGAGATTCTTTTTACTGGAAACGAGGCATTCCATCTGTCCTCATGGCTGACAACACATCTGCATTTTGATTCATAATTGAGAATAGATGTAGATGTCTATGGGCCACTACAACCACTTACCATCAGATAGACTGTGTGCTCGTTTGTCATCCATATCCTATAAAAAATAATATCTAATGATGTACATATTACAATTCCAATAATAATAATAATATAATTACAGCTAAAGAAAGTAACTTACTGACTGTGCTTATGATACTTGAGTAATAGTTTTAAGTGATTATTAATAAATGCTTTCCCTTTTGACATAAAACCAAGTCGATAACCTTGTTCAATACTTCTTTCTGATGTATCACTATTTACTATCCTTGTTGCTACAGGTAAATTGTCAACCAATCTAAAAAAAAATATAAGTTTACATTAAATGAATATAGCTCCAAAATCATAAACTGTAAGTAAATATACTAACAAATGTACAAAATATTCATGTTCAATACGAATTGAAACCTCTTCAGACTCTTCTACACTCCAATTAATTGGATAATTTTTCTTATGGCACAACAGCCTACATTTAATGTTTTCTGCCATATGAACTTCATATGGGGTATTTACTATTCTGTCTCCTCTCAAAACTTCCCCTAAGTTTTCAGATTTATAAACAAAAGTTCCATTTTTTGGTCGACACAAAGGCAAAGAGTAATACTCGTAAGGTAACTGTGTGTGAATGCTCGTCATTTTAACAGCTTTAACTTCAATTCTTTGTCCTTTCTTAAACTCCACTGGAGCCACACCAGGAACATAAAATGCATTGGTAAAAATTATTAAGCTGGATAAAATAATAGACATCGGTAAATAATCCTGAAAGAAAGTCAAATTTTTATAAGGTTCATAGGACGAGATTTTGTATATCAAAACATTATATAATAAAAATGAAACCATACTGTAAACATATTTATTATTTATTTTATATTCTATTCGTAACCAAAATAAAATCGCGCAACTATCACTTCTTTTGACATTTTTATAAATGTCCGACTCCGATCCGATCCGATTCCGACCAATTCCGACAGAATACAACACAGAGTATCTTTTTATACCAAGGAGAATACAAAATCAAAATTACAATGCTCCAAACGGCAGGCAAAGGTCTTAGACTATTCAGCCTAGTCTAGTCTTACGTACATTTTCTTCACAAAATTTTGCACAAATGAAAATTTTAGGAGATTTTGACGACAGCTTAACATAACGGACAATTGATGATGATAGTATCTCAGGGTAAGCATCTTTTCCTATATTAGCTCTATTCACATTCACCATTCACGTAGTGCCGGTGGTGCGGACTATCTCTTCCGTCATTCTCTATCTTTTTTTTTTTGTGAACCAGTGGTAAAAGTAAAAAATTGACTTTCAATAAGTATTATGTACTATGATTAGAATAGAATGGAATACAATAATTTTTATTCAATATTGATTAAAAGTAACTCTTATTGAGTCATTTTTTTATATTACCAGTTGTTCGAAAAAAATCCTCTGTCCTGGGAAGAACCAGCAAGAAACCCAGCGGGATTTTTTTTAATAAATTTTACAATAGGAATGATTACAAACTATTTACAATATTTATTTTAGAAACAGCTTGGAAGCGACCACCTCATTCCCAGGGATTAATATCAACCATGTATTCATTTATATTATAATAACCCTTTTTATACAGTTTTTGTTTAATTTAATATTTAAACTTTGTTGAATAAAACTATTTTTATGGATTTCATCGCGTTTAATTAACTTATTTTATATTCCCGACGTTTCGGTTGCTTTCCAGCAACCGTGGTCACGGGGGACTGAGGTGATTGACGTCCCGATGTCAGTGTTAAACCGGAGTACCTTCAGCTTTTTTAATTAATATTTTTGGTCCGATCTACGCAGAACGAACTAAATGTGTCTTGAAGTCTTGCAGTGGTATGCTTGGGTTTAGTTTTAATTTTATGAATTACAGGATCCCAAGCAGGTGGTAGTACCCAGCCTCCCTCTCTATTGAAATTAGGATGTTTTTTAATTTCAATAGCCTCACGTATCATCCTTGGCAGGAATCGATGTTCTTTCGCGAGAATTTGTGGTTTATCAAATCGAATGTAATGGCGGGGGCCGTCTAGGATATGATCACAAACTGCAGACTTCCTGGAACGTTGGTGCTTCACGTCAGCTATGTGTTCTTTTACGCGGGTTTTTATAGATCGTTTTGTTTGCCCTATATATGAGAGAACACACTCACAATCAAGCATGTACACTCCTGCATCTTGTAGAGGAATATTGCACTTGACGGATGGTAAGAACTAACTAATCTTCTTCGGCGGCTTGAAGAATGTTCTAATAGAAGCTCGCTTCAAGATATAGCCAATCTTGTCTGTGACACCTCTGACATACGGTAGTACAGCATGCACACGCTCGACTGTGGCCGGCTTCACTCGGTCACTGTGAGGGTGATGGTGGGATTTCGATATTTAAACGGTGAATCCCACCATCACCCTTCACAGTTAGCTACCGTGGGCAAATCTTTGTTACAGAGAGCACGAGGGATCTGTGACAGCAAACACCTGGCCGCCGAGCTTCAGCACGTCAAGCAGGTTCTGCACGACAACAAGCTTCGGGTTCCGCGCCTACGTCACAGTGACCGAGTGAAGCCGGCCACAGTCGAGCGTGTGCCTGCTGTACTACCGTATGTCAGAGGTGTCACAGACAAGATTGGCTACATCTTGAAGCGAGCTACATTCTTCAAGCCGCCGAAGAAGATTAGTCAGTTCTTACCATCCGTCAAGTGCAATATTCCTCTACAAGATGCAGGAGTGTACAAGCTTGATTGTGAGTGTGGTCTCTCATATATAGGGCAAACAAAACGATCTATAAAAACCCGCGTAAAAGAACACATAGCTGACGTGAAGCACCAACGTTCCGGGAAGTCTGCAGTTTGTGATCATATCCTAGACGGCCCCCGCCATTACATTCGATTTGATAAACCACAAATTCTCGCGAAAGAACATCGATTCCTGCTAAGGATGATACGTGAGGCTATTGAAATTAAAAAACATCCTAATTTCAATAGAAAGGGAGGCTGGGTACTACCACCTGCTTGGGATCCTGTAATTCATAAAATTAAAACTAAACCCAAGCATACCACTGCAAGACTTCAAGACACAGTTAGTTCGTTCTGCGTAGATCGGACCAAAAATATTAATTAAAAAAGCTGAAGGTACTCCGGTTTAACACTGACATCGGGACGTCAATCACCTCAGTCCCTCGTGACCACGGTTGCTGGAAAGCAACCGAAACGTCGGGAATATAAAATAAGTTAATTAAACGCGATAAAATCCGTAAAAATAGTGTTATTCAATGTGTAGTGTTCGCGTAAATATAAGAAATCATTATTTAAACTTTGTAATAGAGACCTTGAATATTTTCTGGGACTTTGTTGTAATAGCGTATACATTGCCCCAAAACTACTAACAAGAATTACTGACTCTGCGGAGTCGAGAGACTGGTATCACTCGCTTGTTTTTGTTCCTAGTGCTTACAGAGTGTATATCACTTCTCGTAAATATACTGAGAGGCCAAAGTTAATATATTTATTTCTTTAAATTTTTCTCTAAGAGACTCTCTCGGTTTAAGGTTGTAAATAGCTCTTATGGCCCACTTCTGCAACACAAAAATAGTTTCTAAATCTGCCGCATTTCCCCATAGCAAAATCCCATAAGACTATGCTATGGAAATAACTGAAATAAACTAATCTAGAAGTCTCGATACTAGTGAGATCTTTAATCTTTTTCACAGCATACGCTGCAGAGCTTAGTCTGTTTGCTAGTTTGGTTATAAGGGGGCCCCACTGAATCTTCGCGTCGAGAGTGATGCCAAGAAAAACAGAGGATTCAACAGGTCTCAGTTCTTTCGCATTTAAAAACACATTGGTATACAGATTTTTAACATTCGTTGTTGTAAATTTAATACATTTCGTTTTATTGCCGTTTAAATGCAGATTATTAACGTTAAACCAATGCACTAATTTTGATATAGCATTATTCACTTCGCCACATTTAAATGAAAGACGTTTAAGTTTAAAAATCAAGGAAGTATCATCAGCAAATAATACTATATCATGATTATCCCCTACAAGGAAAGGTAAGTCATTAATATACACTAAAAATAGGAATGGGTCAAGAATCAAGCCCTGAGGGACACCCATCTTTACGAAGATTTCTACATGGACTCATTTTGTAGATGTGTATAAGACAGACTGTGAAGTGTGAACATGCAGAAACACGGTTATTACACAAACTTAACGACGAACATGTTATTCCTGAAAAAAAATGAAGGTATAAAATAATAATAATTGTATTTCAATCAAAGGCTTTCTCATGGTCCACATACGTCAGACATAGTGGCAAATTGTACTCTTCGGACTTCTGTACAATTTGCCGAAGGGTATGTATGTGGTCTATAGTGCTAAAGCTCTTTCGGAAACCGGCAGCTTGTTCGGGAGGCTGGAAGTCGTCAAGTCTGCGCGCGAGACGATTCGTAATGACTCTCGAAAACAGCACATAGACGCGGCTCAGAAGGGAAATCGGTCTGTAGTTCTTCAAGAGAGCGTTGTCACCTTTCTTGAAGAACAAGACCACCGCACCTCTGCTCCACGCCTTCGGTGTAATGCCACCATGGAGGACGGAATTAAAGAGCCTCTAAAGGACTTCAAGTAACGGTCTTCCCGAAACCGGTTTACCCGATTTCAGAAGCTCCGCTGTAATTCGACGGCTCCGTGGCACAGTGGCTTAGCAATGAGTTGCTGCGCTGGGAGGCGCGGGTTCGAATCCCGCACGGAACAAGTATTTGTATGGCCTATAAATGATTGTTCCGGGTCTGGATGTTTGTCCTTGTGAAATTTGTGTTTGTAAACTGCCTCCACGATACAGGAGAAAATCCTAGTGTGGGGGTAACGTTTTTTTTAAAAAGAAGAAAAACAAAAAAAAATTTCACCCTCGCCTGGGGCTTTGCCGTTTTCAAGGTGCTGGAGAGCCATTTAATCTCGCTCAGACTGACGTCTCGAGATATCTTCGGTGTCGGAGAATGATGCTATGTTACAAATAATGACAATTTCATTAAGAATAATGAGGCATATAATCAATAAATTGCATGATAATTTGTAATATTTTTTATTTTTATGAAATTTTATGAAAATCACATCTTTGGACATTAAAAAATTATAGAGTTTTTATTAGGAACTTGTAACAGTCTATTTACTTTAAATCACATCTTTGGTTTTTAATCAAAATTAAAACTAACATTCGAATTCATAGAACTTATAAAATTCTTACAATAATGAACAAAGCGAAAATTATTATATTAAGAGACTTTTTATATCTTCTAAAACTGTTGAAACATCTTTGAATTCGACAGTAATACCTTTAGGCACAATTAAAAATCTCAATCAAAATTAACACACAAGTATTGATAAAAACAAAAATAATCATGATTAAATAGAAATATAAGTCATTTAGTAATTTAGTAATTTAGTATTGTGAAATTCTACAAATGCAAGCAGTCTTCAAGACTTAACTTAAATTAAAATATGATAAAACTAGCCACAAAAAATATAAACCAAACAGAAAGACATTTTAATTATTTTGATGTTGATGGTTTGTTGATGTCGTCAAGTTTTGTTTTCTCAAGAATGGTCACATTAAGATGTTTAGAGATGCGTCCTCCAAATTTTTTAGGTACACTAATCTCGTTTAACATTATATCAGAAAGAATTGTCACTTTTTTATTCCTGGTGTGATTAGATTTTGTCTTCGCAACTAGTGTTAGATCAGATTCGACAAAGTTACATTCTACGTTTTCTTTTAGCAACAGAGGTATACATCCTAAATGTTTGCCATGTTCACAAATTTTTGAAGGACTGCAGTCAAAGCAACTCAACTTTCTTAGAGTAGTTTTTGGTTTTGACCTATCCCACAATGCTTGGTAGACTG